AGAGAATGAAAATCAGAGAAACGTTTTGTGTGTTTAACAAAATCAACATTTCTTGCATTACTAGAGGCAATGATATTCAGTGACTGAAATTTAAATGATAATTACTTTAAGCACTTTAAAGCTCACTTTCTGTGTTTGTTTTTATGTTAAATTTATATTATATTTAGGAAGAATGCTTTAAAGTAAAACAAAAAATTAATTTATCCATGATAGTACGTATACATAGGTTTCGATCAGTCAGTATTCCATTTTTTCTGTATATGTCTTAATACTTTAGCTTACTCGAAAAGAATAAAAAATCTTATTTATATATTGCAAGCATATCAGGAATATTCGAATATATAAAGGAGAGAGAGTTTTATACTTAAAATAAGTTCGTCAAATTTTTCTATTCAAAACTTTCACATACATTATATTTTAAGGTCGTAATTTCGAAAACAATAACTTCCTTCTTGCTTTCTTCTAAGCCTTCAATATGAAATTATATTGAAGTATTAATATATGAATATTATTTATTTTTAGTAACAAAGTAGTAATCTGAAAATATAAGGAGATATTGAGATTGAGTAAGCTGATATATCAAAAGTAAAACCTTTTACAAGAATTTAAATCTATTCATGACTATAGTGCCTTTCTAAATGCATTCACGCTAAAAAATGTATAACAACAATCAACTTTACACGTAAAGTAACTTCTTTCTTCTGATGTTATTAAAATCATTATATTTTGGATCCCTAGTGCTTTAATATGTGTTAGGGACTGAATTTTATACATTAGATGAAATGTGCAGTAGAATTAAATACTTTAAAGTTTAAATTTTATTTTTTCTAATTTATCAAGAGTCAATGAGAAAATAAATTTTAAATTCCTCGGTGACGGCTTATGAACGCAAAGTGACCTAAAAGAGATGAATATTCATGCCCCAAAATAAAGTAAAAAAAAAAAAAAAAAAGAGTACCGTTTTTCAATATGAAATCATAAAGTGATGGCAAATATTAAATTCTTAAGTGCGATGAAAATCAGAATGAAAGAAAAATGCGAGACAATGCATCATATTAGTTCGAAGTAATTGCTTTTAGAGCGACATCGCACTGAATGACAAAAAAGGAGATCGTGACTCATGATACGCTTGTTCGGGCGAGCCAATTTTATAACCAGGATATCCTTTTCTAACAATTTCAGCGAACAGCGATGCGTTCTCCACAGACCTTCAAGTTGATTAGTTTCGATCTGAAACTCAACTCCAAGTCACACGTACTGAAAGACAAATTTTGTGATCTAAAACCACATAGATAGATAGATATAGATAGGATTAATACATATGAATCAATAAGTAGATAACTATATAATATCATATATATGCATATATATATAATCAATGAACAGAAGATTAATCAATCATAGATGATCAATAAATCTGTGAATTAAATGTTATTGATTACTTTCAGAATCTCAGAAGTTCGGTTAACTGTAATGCGAAATTTTATTTAGTGCAGAAAAAGCCAAGAGATTGACTATTTTAAGAGAAGGTCAAATAATTCTCTTCTCCTAGTTCGGTACTAAAATAGTCTGATTTCTATTTAACATTTAAATATTTTTTTATTTTTTATTTTTATCATTAGTTGCTATTTTTGTTTAAAAATAACATTATTTCGATTAGTGCAGAAAACGCCAAGAGATTGACTATTCTAACAGAAGGTTAAATAATTCTCTTTCCCTAGTTCGGTATAAAAATAATCTGATTTCTAACGAAGATTTAAATAATTTTTTACTTTTATCATGAGTTGCTACTTTCGTTTAAAAATGGCAAAATATGCGATTTAATATGTAAAGAGAAAGTTCGCGAGATATATTTGCTTTGGAAAGACTAACTTTATGGTCAACTTTCATCAGACATTTACTTAGGTTCATAATATTTTACATACCTTCTTTCGTTATATGCATGACCTACACTTTTAACTCATTTATATTTGTTGGGGTTAAGAATTATGGAAATAAAGGGAAGACAGTAATAAAAATTAACTCATTAGGAGATTAATTAAATTAATATATTGATAATTACATGATTAAAAATTAAATTAATAAAACGTATGATTTTAGAGCATGATATAGGAGTAAAAAGTGATCATGAAGGAGGATTAATTCAATTAAAAAACACCAGACATGAAGAGCACCACAACTCTTATTATGCCTTGAGAAAATCAGTGATCGCAGAAAAATATCTTGTGTATGTAATTATTTTTTTAATATATTTTCGCTTCCGTTTCACACCTGATGGCAAAACCTTTCTAAAATCTTTACATGTCCAATAAATAGTACTCATTTTGCATTAAGAAAAATGAGGATTTTTAACAATATGAGTAATAGGAACTCAAAATAACTTATATGGAGTTAGCCTTTTCTACTGCGAATGTGTGGGAAAAAACAGTTTTCAATACTTAACATTTATCATCTACTGCATGTGAAACCATTATATTCCATTCACACTGGCAAGGAAAAGTAAATTTTAAGAATTAGAGTTTTTATAAATTAAGCCTAATAAATAAATAAATATATTCCAGAGAAAATTCCTTATAAATAAAATCATAATCTCCCAAAATATCTATAAAACAAGTTTCAACTGACAAAATTTTATTTGTTTACTGCTTAAACTTGACTAGAATCACTAACAATTGTTTATAGTACACTGTTTGCTATATTTTTTAGCTTTTTTAAGAGCACGAAGAACATCAAAACGTCCCACGGAATTGTGAAAAATTTTAGTCTGAATGTAATTTTAATATTCTGATTATTATATTTAAAATAAACTTTAATAAATAATTTAAATAACAGCAAAGCATGCTATTGAACATACGCATTATTTTTTTTAATATACTAGTCGAGATTCGTGTAATTATAAGTAATCGTTTTCGGCAGTTCTGTAAGTGTTTGAACATTCATTTTCTCTGCAAATAACTGAAAATCATACGTCAAGAAGTGTAGGAGGCATTAAGACCATTTCAGTGCACCTTATTTTATAGCATTTCATACGTACTATAAAATAAGTAAAAAAAAGCAACTGAATTAGGCATAAATTCATTCGTAAATATTTTTTTAAATCAGGATTTCAACAGAGTATATAAATGTAAATATGTATATAAATATAAGTAGAAATAAAACATGAACAAAAGAGACCTATGTGATCAAGATTTTTAGTTTTAAATTTATTAGTTTTCTCTCATCCCTTTTTGATTTTAAAGTTATCTCGTTTTGTAATTGTTACTTTAAGTTTTTACGCGATAACTTTTACCTCTTTAGTATTGCATTGTTGTTTTTACATGGTGTAACTATTTTACTCTGGAACTGTAGTATCAAATGTACTTTTAAGCAGTCGCTTTTGAACTTTCATCTTCTTTGTAATTATATATATATATATAAAGTAGCAAATAGTAAATTAGAAAAGACTTTTCGAGACCTAGTTGGTCAAAAATTGCGCGTTGAGCTGCAAATTTAAAAAAAGAATGATAATAAAAGGAGAGGGAAAAAATAGCTATAATTGTAAAGATCATTTTAATAATCCTATGCCAGAGATTACATGTTAAACAAAGTTTTAGTTATTTACAATTATTTTAGTTTAAACTAAACAAAGTTTTAGTTATTTTAACTTTGTTTCCTATGCCAGAGATTACATGTTAAACAAAGTTTCAGTTATTTACAGTTATTTTCAGTTATTTTAGTTTAAACTAAACAAAGGTTTAGTTATTTTAACTTTGTTTAACATGTAATCTCTGGAACAGGATTATTCAAATGATCTTTACAGCTATAGCTATTTTTCATTCTCCTTTCATTATATATATATATATATATATATATATAAAGCCACAAAAATTGAACTAATACAAATAAATGCCTACAAGTATCACAGTTTAAAAGCAAAAGCAACTTTTAATCTTGCATCGGCTCAGTAACCCATTGTTGGTTTAGCAATGATTTATTTTATTTTTATTTTTGTTTATTTTCCATTTTATAAATAAATGTTTTGAAATAATTCACTAAAACTGTAAATAATCTGTTTTCAAAATACACTTTTAAGAAAAACTTCATATTAAATATTGAAAAGTTTCTAAATAGGGCTTTAAATTTTAAGAGTTCAGATTTCAAAACTCTTGCAAAAGGACATTTGTAAAGAGCCATATTATTGTTTAACTAAAAAAGACTTTAAAATAAGAAAGCACATTGTTTGTTAGAGGTAAATATATGAATGATACATTTGTTTCTCTGAAATAAATCAATATTATATGTATTGTAATATTTTGTAATTTATCAAATAACTATATTTATTGTTGAAGTGGCAACGCCATATTTGTATTATGTAACCGTTGCTCAGCAACGTAAGAAATTGTTTTAAGATTAGAATCTTAAGCTTGACCAGCTAGCGGATGTATGAAATTTTTACCACAAAATAATTCTTCAACTTATCTATCTCCGTAAAATAAAAATAAAATTTATATTTTACTAAGAAGATTATCTGTTTTGTCAATTACTGCAAAATACATTACACTATTTACATTTATAACTTTAAAATATAAAACCTTTAATTTTTTCAACCTTTTTTATTTATATAATGGTTGAAGGAAATCCAAAATTGATTATTTTTTTACATTATTTAAAGCAGTACAAAATTTTATGTTCAATTATATGGTATAGTTGTATATCAAAAATTAACTTTCTAAAAAATACTTCGAAATTTTATATTCATTTGCCATTATTGTACTAATTTTGGTCTCCGCTGTTAAAATAAATTTACCAGCGATACTTTACATTTGCGGATTAAAGCAGCTTATTTTAGCAATTCGCAAATATGATTGGTTTCTAATATACAGTAATGAAGTTTTAAATTGTAGCAAAGCTACATTTTAAATTTATAATATAAATGTTCTTATAAAGTGAACACATTTATATGCTATCACAAGAATCAAAATATCACTGAAGAGATTTAAAAAAAAATCATTTAAACTTACTACTGTCCGTTGGACTGGCAGAATTACCACTAACACTATCAGTTGCATCGCATCTGTCTTTGCACATAGGCCATAAATTGGGATTCTGAAAACTTTCACTAAGAATTTTCGAACAATTTCCAGTTTTGTTTTCTGGCTGAATTGGGCTCATTGCAAAAGAGCTAGAATTGTAACAAAGCGGATTATTTATATCACATGCTGTAGAGTTAGTACTCACACAAGGGGAAATAGAAGAAGTTTGAGAAGTCTGTACAACATGAGACGTCTTATACTCTGAGTTTTGTGCGTACGGTATAGTTTCAAATGGTTCTGCACTGATAGAGGCTTCAGTATCCCATTTAGGAGGCTCTTGTTGAAAATGCAAGTTATTATTGCAGTTCATATTTATAGCTTCCAGTAGCATTTTGTCTATAGATGGACTGCTAAAAAAGTATGAATCTTCTGGAAGATTTAAAATGTCTTTTACAGAAAACGGTGTATTGGAGCGACTTGCAGTACTACAATTCGCCAGCATATCTGATAATTTGGAATGTTCACATTACTCACATTCCTCCTTTTTTTTTAGAATGTTTCAACATCAGTTTCGAAATACTGTCAGCTCATCAACACGTCACAGATTATTCCCTTTTGCCATAAAATATAAAACTGAAAGAAGAAAAAAAAATCTAAATTACATAAACATCTTTAATACTTGCTTGATGTTCTACTCTCGAAGCTCTCGATATAACAGAAAATAATTGTCTGATGGCTAATCGCAAGTGATATGCTTGATTATCCCTGCAGAAATCTATCAAACAAAAAAGAGAAAGAAAGAAAAAAAGTGCTCGACTATCAGAAAGCCAAACAGTTGCGTGCGCATCTGCTTTCTAGTCGCAAAGCACTTAAAGTGTGAATTTTTCTATCTTGAGGTTCTACCCAAAGGCGACATCGTTACTGTCACACAGTAGCCGAACTGTTATGGGTCTGTGGAGCCTCTTTGGGGAATAGAATCGTTTTAAGACTAACTCAAATCTCTGCCAGAGTTTGGAAGAGATATAAAAAAGGTCAAGGATTTCTGGAGCGTCACAGGGCGCGCTTTCCGCGGGTCCAAGGGAGAAGTGCCGAAGATTGTTTCTTACGTCATTCGTTTAGTTTCAATCCACGAGTTGAATTGAAGCATTGACTCCTCCCTATCAGAAAGACCCGGTTGGTTTTAGGAAGACAGACTGTTTGATAAATGCGGTGGTCGAAAAGATTTTATTTTATTTTATTTTATAACAGACAGATTACCGCTGTAGGGAGTTAAGAAGATTAGTCTTAGAGAAATCTCAGGCTTTTTAGTGGTCTGACTTTTGATTCGTCTTTCACAATAGGAAAAACCCAAAGAAAATACAATTGGAAAACTTTCTATACACTTTTAGATAATTTTTGTTTCTCAGTTTAGAAATAAGAAAATCTAATTCTAGTATGAAGAGCATATCTTGAACCATTCTTTTATTTTCAACTTCTTCATCAATGTAATTACAATTTTTCTATTATAATATTTTTCAGGTTATGTAATACATCTATTTTCAGTGGAGATAATATAATTTAACCTAATTTAATGTCTTATACTTAAAAATAAAAAGGTAAATGAAGTTAATAATTAATGCAAAATTAAGTAAAAGTAGTTTAAAAATTCCTTGAAAGTAATTTTAAGTACATTCCTTTTTTTAAAAAAGTAAATAACAGTTTATTGGACACGTTTATTATAAAACTAAGTAATATATATGTATTGTATTTGTTAACGGGATGTACCTGCAGTCAAATTATTGAGGCCGGAAATTTGTAGTTTTCGTTTAATACTACCTCTACTCATTATTTCAAAACAATTAAAGAGTTTTACTAAATGCAAAATAAATTTCAGTCGTTTTTATTTTATTTTTTCACGTTGTTTAAATGATTCTTATACTATTTTTTTACGATTTTCTGCATAAATATATATATTTCCACTACGCGGGTTTAAATAACAACGCTTAAAACAAAATTCAAATTATATTTCGTGCTTCCTAAAATAAAGTACATATAAAATATATTTGTGAATCTCAAAACAGACTGTTCAGGAATACACTATCAAAACTGGTTATTTAGTTACATTACTAATATATAATTTATGTTATTATTATACATAATATTACTGATATAAAGTGTAATTCGTTAGAGTATTCTGTAAATACATATGTGCGTAATATTTTATTCTCATTTCCTGTGGTAGTTATTTCAAATAAGAGTAAAAAATAAAGATCCTAAAAGATTTACTAAGTGATATCTCAAAAGTTGCACTCTACGAGATTAATACAATAAAAATCTGAGAACAATTTGCTGAAATTTTAAGCAGCAAACATGTTATGAGTTTAAAATAAGGCAAAAAAAGGGATGCTTAGAATACCTAAAAAGCTAATGAATAAAAAAATTGTCACTGAGGACTTATCTTACTCATACCAAATGAGCTCCAATTTTACCACCTGAAGCTCATACTATTTACATGACAAATCATCTAACCATTTACAAAAATCCATCTTTCCGACTATATTTTTACACCTAATGCCTGATGTGAATTATATTCCACTTTGTACACGAATCTGATTATAACTTCTGAAGGAGTCGGATTTCAAGGTTTATTTAGAAATCGAAAGAATGAGAGCGGAAACATTCGCAGAAACATTCGCAGAAACAATATTCTATTTTTTCTTTCAATATCTTGAAATATGAACGTGGTGAGAGATATTAGGTGTTTTTGGGAGCAGGAGAGATGAAAAATGAGCAACGCCTTCGCCAGGACTCGAACCACGGGCCTCTCGAACTATTATGAGAGGAAGAATTTTTTGTTAAAACTTCGAGAGGAAAAGACCTCGTATTTATATAAAACTTGAGAAAGCAACAAAAGCTCTCTTGTAGGCATCTCAGATCACTTCAAATTTGTAAGGAATCAGCCTTCAAGGAAATTTCTATTGTTCAATGGTCTTAACAGTTTGGATGCTAGGGGCCTCTTCAAACTGTCAATTTTGATTTTTTAAGCAAATTCTAAATTTTAATATAATACTTTTATCTTGATATTTCAAGAAATGATAATGCAGCTGGGTTTGATATTTTGCTAAACTGACTATTTGCCATTAGAAGATCTTACCGCATACAGAATTCGTCGAAATTGTGACAAGTACAGTCACTAAATTCCTCGCCCTCAGAATAGTTTATCCAAGTGACAAAACTAAAGAATGCTAGAGAATATGCATACAGTAAATTTTATTATTTATTTCAGCATTTTGATTGCAAATGTCAAACACACATGTATCAAATATTTTCATACCTTGTATTTTAATTACGTGATTGGATATGTCTTCAATTACAGTTATAAGGTATTTCTCCCGCCTTTTTAGCATACCTTCGTAGTGTAGGGGTCAGCACACTCGGCGCGCATTCGAGAGGCCCGTGGTTCGAGTCCCGGCGAAGGCGTTGCTCATATTTCATCTTTCTTGCTTCCAAAAAATACCTACTCCCGAATACTGGCTCCCGAACTAAAAGGTGGTGAATGGCGAATCTTCACCACCAGAATTTGGCGGTTGGGACCCCTAAATCCCCAGTCGCCCTTTAAAGGGGGGGGGAATATATAAGGTATTTCTCCTGCCATCTTAGCATGCCATCGTGGTGTAGTGGTTTGCACGCTGGAAGCATATTCCAGAGGTCCGTGATTCGATTTCCGGCGAAGGCGCTGCTCATTTTTCATCACTCCTGCTTTCAAAATACCTAATATCTCTACAGTGGCGCCCGCATTAAAAAGGTGGTGGATGATGATTCTCCACACTCAGAATTAGGCGATTGGGACCCCTAAATCCCTAGTCGCCCTTTAAAGGGGGAATATATAATGTATTTCTTCCGTTTTCTTAGCATGACTTCGTAATGTAGTGGTCAGCGCACTCGGCGCGTATTCGAGAGGCCCGTGGTTCGAGTCCTGGCGAAGGCGTTGCTCATTTTTCCTCTCTCCTGCTTCCAAAAAATACCTAATATCTCTACAGAGTAAACAAATTCTAAAAATGCATGTTTCAAAAGGAACGAAAAATTAACATTAATTCTAACTAAACTAAAATTGGAAAATAATAAAAAGTGAATTGAAATTATATAAATTAATGATCGAATTATAACCAGTGTGAGAAATATTAGATAAGCTCCTTCTTTCGAAAGTAAGAAACATACTATTTTTGTATGAAAGTAGGCCAATTACTTCTAAATTTATCTAACAGTTAGTTTGAGGTTACACTCTATCCTATTACTCTTGGCTTGTCACGATTTTATGCAAACTAGAAAGCAAACACTATGTTTTAAATGTAGGGTATTAATCTTAACAGGGAAGCTATTAGGGCATGATCTATGTCACTGCCATCTTGCCTTCTTGGCGTCTTTCCTGAAGTAATTGTGAAATGGGTACGAGAGTTAGTTGCTGTGTTTGGCAAGTTCTTTCTAGAAGTAGTTACAGAAGAAGAAATCGTCTTAATTTTCTTTTAAGTTTGTAAGACTACCAGTAGTGGCTAATAAAGATTTGTTTGATTTACAACTTGAATATGTGTGCTACATTAACTGTTAAACGGTACCAGAGATAATAAATTGCCAAGCCATTTAATTAACTATGTTATTAACGGTTTGGTGATAAGGTCAAGTATTAAAGTATTTTACACTACAGAAGTTACAATATATAAGCACAATGTTTTATTAAGCGCTGGAAATATGCATAGAAAAGAGATACTATAATTAAAAATTTCTTTGTTTGTCAGATTTTAATTAGAAACCTTTCTCAAATAAAACCAAAAAAAAAATCAGGTACCTTTCGTTGCTCTAAAAATACTTTTACAAAGAAAAATGTAGAAAATCTGTTAACTAAAAAAAAGAGAAACAAAGCAAAGAAAAGTGAGGGAAAAAAAGAAAAATTTACTATTAAATGAAGAGAATTATCGGATCTATTCTTCATTATGAAATTCATTTATTATGAAATTATGAAAAATATCCTGATTATTATGAAAAAATGAATTTTAAAGAGATGAAAAATCGCAAGAAAGGATGTACAGGCGAAGGAATAAAGGTAAGTCGTCTATGAATCTTAATAAGACTCATAAAAAGTATGTTAAATTTAAGTTTATGTTACAGCAGAAGGAATCATCTTAATTTACTTTCATGTTTGCAAGACTACCAGTGGTGGCTAATAAAAATATATTTTTTTTACAGCTTGAATATGTGTGCTACATTAACTGTTAAACGGTACCAGAAGTGAAAACTTACCAAGCCATTTAATTCACTATGTTGTGAACCGCTAGATGATAAGGTCAAGTTTTAAGGTATTTCACAGTATAGAAGTTACAATATATTAACAGAATGTTTTATTGATAATTGTTGGAAATATGCATAGGAACGAGATACTATAATAACGAATAAATAAAACGGTTTAATTTTTTTAGAATTTATGATAAAACGATAAGTCATCTGACTCTCTTAACATCTTAAACAAATCATGATTAAAGTAGTATGAAACCGTACGAATTCAAATCATGTTTTGTGCCGTAAGAAAACTGATGCCCAAAAATATGCTTAGATGCATTTTAATATCATATTAGCAGTGTTCAAAATACGAATAAAACATTTTAGAAGCATAGGATGAAGAATCTGAAATGCATAAAATAAAAATACCCGTTTTTCTAGAGTCAAAATATGAGCTCATATCACAGTGACAACATGTATGTAAAGCATGTGCAATAAGATGTATATAAAAGTACAGTGAAAGAATTCATTGAAAGCCTAAATTGTCTAGATGCATGGAAATTTAGAGTGAATACACTGTTCTGAAAAATTTTCAGAATGTGAGTTATTATTTTCTGTTGCTATGAAAGGCCTGAGGAATTTGAATTTAAAAACGTTTGAAACTGAACTGAATTATTGCTCACGAACAAAATATATAAGTTTAAAGACTATTGTCAGTACTGCAATATCATCATCATAGTGATGAAGTCTTTTAAAAAGAAATTTTTCTTTAGTTATCAAGTGGAATGAGAGAAGCATTTTTTA